AGTTGACGAAGAAATTCAACGAATGCTTGAGGGGGGTATTATACGTCATTCCCAGTCACCATGGAGCTCCCCTATTGTAGTTGTTCGCAAGCGAGACCAGTCAATTCGCCTGTGCATAGATTTTCGCTTAGTCAACGAAATGACTATTAAAGATAATTTTCCTTTGCCAAGAATAGAGGACTGCCTTGACGCTCTAAGGGGAAACCAATGGTTCAGTACTCTCGATTTGGCTAGTGGTTATCACCAAGTAGGCATGGACCCTCAAGACGCGGCTAAAACAGCTTTTGTTACCAGTAAAGGCCTTTTTGAATTTAATCGTATGCCTTTTGGTCTGTGTAACGCTGGTGCCACCTTTTCCAGACTTATGCAATATATTTTATCTGGGTTACAATGGGAAATTTGTGTAATCTACCTAGATGACATCATTGTGTTTTCTAAATCATTTGAGGAGCACATTACCAGGCTCCAAGAAGTTTTTGATAGAATTCAGTTGGTTGGGTTGAAAATTGCTCCTAAAAAGTGTTTTATTTTTCAAAAGAAAGTATCATTTTTGGGACATGTCGTGAACGCAGAGGGTATTTCACCAGATCCAATAAAAATAGAGGCTGTACAGTCATGGCCCATGCCAACCAATGTTAAGGACGTTAGAAGTTTTCTTGGAACCTGTTCTTACTATGAAAATTCATTTAAGATTTTTCAAAAATAGCCCGACCCTTACATAGACTTACAGAAAAGAATGTGATTTTTAAATGGAATGCTGAATGTGAAATAGCCTTCAATATTCTGAAAAAGGCACTTATGACCAGCCCAATTTTAACATATCCTTGTATTGATAAGGAATTTATTTTAGATACCGATGCCAGTGGCACAGGGGTGGGGGCAGTTTTATCCCAAATCAATGATGAAGGCAAAGAGTGTGTTATTGCGTATTATAATCGTACTTTATCAAAAACTGAACGACAATATTGTGTTACTAGAAGGGAATTGTTGGCTATTGTTTTAGCAGTGAACCATTTGATCATTATTTGTACGGGGTCAAATTCACTGTGAGAACTGACCACGGAGCCCTTAACTGGCTCAAGAATTTTAAGAACCCTGAAGGTCAACTAGCCCGTTGGCTAGAAATATTAGGAACCTATACTTTCATTATAAAACACCGTGCTGGTTTAAAGCATGGAAATGCTGATGGTCTATCTAGAAGACCATGTGTTTATTGTAAACACTGTGATACCAGAGATGTGACTGAAGTTAGTTACCAAATTGAAAATCCAACAATAAGGTCAATTAATATGTTGGATGAAAATGAAACTGAAGATACCCATATTACTACCAATTGGTTTAACAATAAGACCCCTGAAGAATTTAAACAAGCCCAATTAAATGACCCTGTTATTTCTAGAGTTTTGACTTGGAAAAAGTCATCAGAAAAACCAAAGTGGCCAGAAATTTCTCATCTTAGTCAACACCATAAAACCTATTGGAGTCAATGGGATAGACTAACAGTTGTTGATGGAATACTTTATAGAAAGTGGGAAAATACCACAACCAATGATATAAATTTACAATATGTTTCACCAAGTGCAGATAGAAACCGTGTGTTGCTACTGTTACATAATGATCAGTTAGGGGGGCATTTAGGATTTAAACGTACTATAGCCAGAATTAGGCATAGGTTTTATTGGGCTGGGTATACCAGTTATGTAGAAAGGTGGTGTAAGCGTTGCACTGAGTGTCAGAAAAGGAACCAACCTTCACATCATACCAGGGGACAAATGAAAACATATATTGTTGGGGAACCTTTGGAAAGGGTATCTCTTGATATTTTAGGTCCAGTGACCCAAACCTATAAGGGCAATAAATATGTCATTGTTGTGACAGATTATTTTACCAGATATGCTGAAGCATATGGGGAACCTGATATTGAAGCCCAAACTGTAGCAGATAAGCTGCTGGAAGAATTTATATGCCGTTATGGTCTCCCCCTACAAGTACATACTGATCAGGGATCTCAATTTACCTCTGATTTGTTTATTCAATTGTGCAATAAATTACATATTGACAAGACCAAGAATAGTCCATTTCTTCCCCAAAGTTCAGGATTAGTGGAAAGATTAAATCGAACAATCGAGGACATGATAAGTAAATTTGTACCTAAACACCAGAAGGACTGGGACCAATATTTACCTCACCTTATGATGGCTTATAGATCATCAGTTCATGAAACCTTGGGAGAAACGCCATGTTTCATGATAATGGGCAGGGAAGTAAGGCTGCCAAGATTTAATTGATGGGGGGGGGGGGGGGGGGGGGGGGCTTGTGGAATTCAACTTAATAAATGTAGTGTAACCAACTATATTGATAAGTTGACAGATAAAATAGAAAAGGTCCATGAAGCAGTTAGAGACCGCCTTGTTAGTGCAAGTGAGCGACAAAAGAGGCGGTATGACCTCTCGTACTTTTCCCACATTTAAAGTAGGAGATGGAGTACTCCTACATGACCCCAGGAAATATAAAGGACGTTCACCCAAATTTCAAATGCGGTGGTCCGGCCCCTTTACTGTTATTAAAGTGCTTTCAGATGTTTTATATAAAATCCAGGAAGGCCCAAAAATGAAATTTAAAGTGGTTCATGTGAACAGACTAAAACTTTTTCAAGGAAATATGAAAAGGTGGTATCAACCGTTAGGGGAACCAGCCCAAAATACCAGACTTCAAGTCAAGAATAAACTAGACAGAGAACAGACAGACCATGACTGATATTGTTATAATATAGATATGTTTATTATTACCAGTAATTTGAGTGATATTCAATGTGTTATAAATTGTTATATTTATTGTTGTTAATAGTTCACTTACCTGAATATTAATGAAGTGAGAACCTTTGATTTCGATTGAAACATGTATTTATAAATTCCAAAAGTTATATGTAGGCTATATATATATATATATACAAAGCGGTTAGTCATGAAACCAGTGACTAAAGGAAAATTAACACCATACGAAGTTGGTGCATTTAAAATAATAAAAAAAAGGAAATTTATTATTCATACATGTGTATTGTACATGTGCATAGTATGAAGGTTTATACCTCATTTTTAATAATTCACATTACCAGTGATTTCTTAGTTGATACGTGTTATATACATTTGTACATGTACATGGAATGCGACATAAAACCATTGATGTTATATTTAAAAAGTTACAGAAACCAGACATTTGTTTTCTTGTGTGTATTTATACATATATATATATATATACAAGTACCTGTATATATATTGATACCAGAACCTTAGCCAGCCATTGTGTTTAAAATGGATTTTATTTTATATTTTGTAGCATGAGTGATGTGGTGAAAACCAATTATATATACCCTTTCCAATGTGATGACTGTGGGAAGAGATTTCCGGTTAGGGACAGCCTCCAAAGGCACAGAAGGAGATCCCACAGTCATGAATTCATCAAGTGTCGCTGGTGCCCTTATTCGCAACCAAAGTGTGATGGCTACAGAGTAAAACAAAATGAAAAATGCCACGAGAAATACACAAACCTTATTACCACCAGAAACAACTATGTATGTGAGACTGAGACGGAGGAATACATCCCAGAAGACAGACCAATTTCCACTGAGACAACCAGGCAGCTAACAGAATTCCTGGAGGCCATCATGCCGGATTTCTCAGACCTGTTAGGTGTGGAGCCCCGCACTCCATCACCAATGAGACAACTTCTCAATGAAGAGCCACCACCAGAATGTATTATTCCTTCAGACCAACTCTTCTCCAAGTATTTGCAAGACCTGTCACCAGTTAATTCTCCAGACAACTTCTCCATTGACATCGACTTGGAACCACAGGAACCTTCTATCACTTTATATAATCCTGAACCATCACCTCTAGTTTCTATAGCCACCATTATTGATCAACAACAACCATCACCTTCATTTTCCATTGCAACTAGTATTAATCATCAAGAACCAACAGAACAAATTTTAGATTTAACTATGACCAGGACCATAACACCATGTACACCAGAAGACCCAATTACCACCAACCAAGAAGAACCTTTAGATCTTTCTATGAAATTGAAACCCGCTAATAATTTGAATATAAAACCAAAGGAGATTCCTACCAACTCTTTGACACCTGTTATTGACTGCTCAGTACCCACAAACCTATGGAATGTAAAACCCATCTCACTAGAAACAGACAACCACGAACATCTTTGCCTGGACCCAAGATTATTCTTTGCTGGAGCTCCATCACAATATCACACACACCTTTTGGCTAATACCTTACAAGAGAAAGTAAACATATGCAGGACATCACAGAAAGCTAGATACAAAAGACAGCTTGTTCCAATTGGTGTTAGGACCATAATGAAGAAAGAACGTTGCTACCTACCAGATGGTACCATCCTAGAGATGAAAGAAGTATGGACTTCCAACCAGCCAACATCATCACCAACAGAAGAGTAAGGGTTTATTTTAAGGGTACATTTTGTAGGTAAGTGCTTGGTAAGTAGGTTTCTTATTTTTAGTTCGAGGACGAACCCTTTTTAACCCTGGGTGGGGGGTAGTGTTATGCCTAAGGGTAGGAGTTAAGGATGATAGGTTTATATGTATCATGTTTTATTCTTTTCTTGTGTTGCTCAGAGATTTCATTTTTACTTTCACTTTCATTTTTGTGTTCCGCTACTCTGAGCTGCACTGTTGTTTATATATTATGAACGGAAGAACTATGGAGATGAACGCTTTATATTTCAGGTATCGCGGCCGTATTATATTGTATTGTATGTATTATATTATTGTTTATGGGAAATATAGTTAGGACAGGGTTCGTTCTCACTGTTTGACCAGGAGGGTACTTTGACATGTTCCCAGCTTTAGTTTGACCTGTATATCGCTTGTCCCATTTGCTCACCTGTTTTATTCGATCACGTTAAGGGTCTATATTGTAACCAGGGTACGTTCCCATTAAGGGTTATTCTTGATAAGCCCATACCTCCCTTTTTCCCTCGACAGTTGTACATTCCTATTTGTTTTTGCGCCATCTTCTATATTATTGCCGTGGAAACTCCCGGTTCTAAAGACCAATCGGAATTGACGGAGATGGCCTAGTTTCCAGAGCCCTTTACTATGTATATGTGATTTAATAACCAATCACTACGTTATTTCGCCGGACACACTTATCCCTATAGTAACGGACACACTTTCTGTGTCCGCGGACTTCCGGTACTATATAAACGGTTGTAGCAGACGATTCTAGTTAGTTCACAGCTCACGGAACCTTGACCATTTTGTTCCATATACCATATTTACCAGAGCGAACCACCTGTGAACCATCATCTTCAAACCATTACCAGGTTAATGTTTACCCCGATTATATATATATATATTTATGACCTGACCAAGTGACCTAGATTATTTACTATAATACTACAACTTTTCCCATGTTTACGCACGACGAATAACGTCCAAGGGGGGTCTCTGTACTGTTTTCGCTCTAGGGTTATTTATTTATACACATATATATATTGAATTATGACTGATTAAATAGTCATTGTTAAACTTATAACTGTTTTTGTTATATTTTATCTTATTAAGAATAAGAAACCAGTGTCTTAGACTGCTCAGTCCAGCTACCAAGTTCTGCAACTTACCATTGCAGTTTCACAATCACCAGTGAAAGTTATTGAAAGGCCTGCTACCAAGGTTGATTTTTATCTCGTGTAAAACAATTAAATATACACACACACAAAATATTAAGCTTCGTAATGCTATACCAGAGGCGTTACATCTTTGCTTGGACCCAAGATTATTCTTTGCTGGAGCTCCATCACAATATCACACACACCTTTTGGCTAATACCTTACAAGAGAAAGTAGACCTATGCAGGACATCACAGAAAGCTAGATACAAAAGACAGCTTGTTCCAATTGGTGTTAGGACCATAATGAAGGAAGAACGTTGCTACCTACCAGATGGTACCATCCTAGAGATGAGGGAAGTATGGACTTCCGACCAGCCAACATCATCACCAACAGAAGAGTAAGGGTTTATTTTAAGGGTACATTTTGTAGGTAAGTGCTTGGTAAGTAGGTCTCTTATTTTTAGTTCGAGGACGAACCCTTTTTAACCCTGGGTTGGGGGTAGTGTTATGCCTAAGGGTAGGAGTTAAAGATGATAGGTTTATATGTATCATGTTTTATTCTTTTCTTGTGTTGCTCAGAGATTTCACTTTTACTTTCACTTTCATTTTCGTGTTTCGCTACTCTGAGCTGCACTGTTGTATATATTATGAACGAAAGGACTATGGAGATGAACACTTTATATTTCAGGTATCGCGGCCGTATTATATTGTATTGTATGTATTATATTATTGTTTATGGGAAATATAGTTAGGACAGGGTTCGTTCTCACTGTTTGACCAGGGGGGGTACTTTGACATGTTCCCAGCTTTAGTTTGACCTGTATATCGCTTGTCCCATTTGCTCACCTGTTTTATTCGATCACGTTAAGGGTCTATATTGTAACCAGGGTACGTTCCCATTAAGGGTTATTCTTGATAAGCCCATACCTCCCTTTTTCCCTCGACAGTTGTACATTCCTATTTGTTTTTGCGCCATCTTCTATATTATTGCCGTGGAAACTCCCGGTTCTAAAGACCAATCGGAATTGACGGAGATGGCCTAGTTTCCAGAGCCCTTTACTATGTATATGTGATTTAATAACCAATCACTACGTTATTTCGCCGGACACACTTATCCCTATAGTAACGGACACACTTTCTGTGTCCGCGGACTTCCGGTACTATATAAACGGTTGTAGCAGACGATTCTAGTTAGTTCACAGCTCAAGGAACCTTGACCATTTTTGTCCCACATACCATATAACCAGAGCGAACCACCTGTGAACCATCATCTTCAAACCATTACCAGGTTAATGTTTACCCCGATTATATATATATATATATTTATGACCTGACCAAGTGACCTAATTATTTACTATAATACTACAACTTTTCCCATGTTTACGCACGACGAATAACGTCCAAGGGGGGTCTCTGTACTGTTTTCGCTCTGGGGTTATTTATTTATAACATATATATATTGAATTATGACTGATTAAATAGTCATTGTTAAACTTATAACTGTTTTTGTTATATTTTATCTTATTGAGAATAAGAAACCAGTGTCTTAGACTGCTCAGTCCAGCTACCAAGTTCTGCAACTTACCATTGCAGTTTCACAATCACCAGTGAAAGTTATTGAAAGGCCTGCTACCAAGGTTGATTTTTATCTCGTGTAAAACAATTAAATATACACACACACAAAATATTAAGCTTCGTAATGCTATACCAAAGGCGTTACGATATTATATGTAAATTTAGAATTAGTGATCATTCCATCGCTATTGAAACTGGAAGATATAATAAGTGCAAAGTTCTGGAAGATGAATCCCATTTCTTTTTATTTTATAAAATAAATAATGATTTAAGACATGTCTTTTTACTGTTCCAAAACCCAAATATACAGATTTTCTGACAACAAAATGAGATATATTCTAAATCCAATTATTACCTAATAAAGAGTATTTTACTGTTTTATTAATATTTCTATATTATTTGCTATTTTCTGCCATTTTTTGTTCCATGGTCTATTGCACTGGAAATTATCGTTCTATTGCACCTGTGTGCAGTCTATTGCACTGACCTGTTATGACCTCTTATTCTGAAATCTGATTAGTTGAAAGGTATTCATGTTGTCCAATCAAATTGGGTCTTTTAAACGTTCTTGGGTTTATTATTTTGATCGTCTGCAAATAACTTCCGCGATGGAGCGGTTTGCAAATGTTGATGATTGAGACTTAAATGATTTACTTGAGAATTTCTAAAGTATTGGTTGTACATGTATGCTCCTTATACATTATAATTAATACAGTTGTTACTTTCATGTGTTTTATTTCTAAGAATTTGTTAGAACTGACTCAGTATGTATTAGGTAATAAAACAGTTATTGAATGTGTAACAGTGCAATAGATCAAAATATATTTCCTCGGTATGAAGATCAGCTCATTATTCTATTGCCCTCAGCCGTTGGCTTCGGGCAATAGAACAATGAGCTGATCTTCATACCTCGGGAAATATATTTTGATCTATTGCATAGTTACATATTAAATAACTGTATACTATTAGCCAGCAAGTGAAGTCTTTATGCTCCTTTATTAACCAGTCTATGGAACGGAAGACATAGGGTACTTGAAGTCATTTGTCGTGTTGTATGGTTATACTTTATTTTATGCAAATGTTAGGATGATGCTGTTGTTTAAATTGTAATTTGTATGTTATTATGTCTCTTATTGGTGTAATTGGACTTTAATAAAGTTATTATAAAATGCTCTTATTTGGTAGTGATCAATTGATATCTTACCGTATCGGTAATACAATAGTAGGGTCCATCTTGTACTTTCTATAAGACGTTTCCTTGTATTTCATATTAAAAGACAATCAAAGGTTTTAGTAACTGCTTTTATGAAGAACAGGAATAGAAACACTGTTTCTTTAATATGAAGATAATTTCTTGGTATATTAATATATTCCTTGTAATGTGTGGAACCACCCGTATCCATACTTTTCAAACGGAGTAGACACTTTGTAATTGAAAACGGTCCTGTATTTTCTGTACATTAATCTTTTGTATGTATTTTTGTAACACTTGTATTTTTTTATTTTCCAGCAATGACAAAAGAAGAAATTACAAACGAAAATCGAGTCTTACGTGTCCAAATTCGAGACTTGAAACGAGACTGTGCAATCGTTCGAGATTGCATCCTTCAACTAGAAAGAAATTATAATTCATCGAAACAGTTGTCTCCTATTCACAGATATAGAATTATGAAACTAATTGTGAAAAAAGTAATCCATGATCGATTATTATAATATTTTAAATGTGTAAGAAATTTTAAAGGGGTATTAGCTGCGAGATATAAACAAAAATAAAATATGATTTTGTTTTGGTTCAATCATTAATGAAAGTGAAATCGTGAAATAACAATTCGCTTTTAGCAGCCAGTTTGATTCAATTTTGTCGAAATAAGCTAAGAAACATTGCTGATGTATTATTCACTTGCAAGTGATTAACTCGTATTCATGTGACTTTCAATTTAATCCCTTAGCTAGAATATGAAATCAAACCGACCTAGAAAAATCCAATTGCACGTGTTCGCTATCTATTTATATCTATATTTATGTTTATATCGGGTTATATGACCGTTGGTAGTCTTCGGCGGTCACATCGATGGTAAATTAGATGGCGTCTAAAATACACACGAAATGCTGATAAATATTATCGAGTCTATTTATCGTAAATTTTTCATTTTATACTTTTTATAATTTGGATATACGTTTTAGTATGTTATAAATGAAATATGAGAATTTGAGTCAAATCGGTGAACATGAATTTGACAGCTACTGCCCCTTTAAGAAAAAAAGCTGGAATGAAAATATTTTATATTTTTCTTCGAAACTACAAATCAGAGCATTCTGAAATTTGATACGAGTAAAACTATAGCGGCTGTACTATTACAAATTTAAATGCAAATATTTCTGTACATAATATAAATATACATGGTCTATGTTTTGCATGTATAATTACATATCATTACATGTACACTACATACTGATTTATCATTTACATTGAGCTTTAACTAAAATATTATATACTCAGTCTTAAGTTTTATGACTCCAATTTAAAAGCACATTACGATTTCAATGAAAGCAATTTGTCTTGTGTATGTGTTTTTTTTAAATGGTATTGCTGTTTTGTTTGGTCCCTTGCTGACTTGTTTGGTTTTTTATACTGACATTATACTGCTTTCTCAAAACTTTTTCGTAAGATTTGCTGGGTCAAAAATGCTTAAACGCAAATATTTGAAAGCCAAGGATATTTAAATACTGAATACTTGAAGAGATATATGTTCAAAAGGAAGCTAAAATTAACAATCAAACATGTGCTTGACAAAATTTGATATTTCCATCCGATTGGTCTATTGTTAATATACTTCATCTGATGTTTATTTGTCATCATGGTAACAATTTCAAGTTATTATCTCATTTTCTTTTTTGAATTTAAAAAAATGAAATAAAAAATAACTTAATTTCCTCAATTTTAATAAGTCTTGTGCCATTTGACGTCCACACCACTATATATGTATCAACCAACAAACACACAATTGACAGCGGTGACGACTTTTTCATATACTCATTTTCATTTTAGAAAGTCCACTGAATGTATTTCACTCGAGGGGCATTTTCAAAAATTTTTTAATCGAATTCTACGATTCCCAGATCTGTTTGGCTACGAGGTTCTGAAAATAAAATGCCGTATTTTTTACCATGTATTACATTTCCTATTGTTTACCCTTTGCATATATTTTCAATTTACAACATAGGAAACATAACTCCGTAGCCAATTTACCGTACCCTAACCATTACCCAAAACTCATATTCTGAATATCAATAGATTTTGCAAGTAATAAGTTTGGCATTAACCAATAAAAAAAAATTCTATCAAAAGTAAATCCGCATTGTCGTTCAGATACAAATTGAGCTATTTTTGACAAGTGATCTCAGATGATTTATTTAAAATAAAATATAAA